CTAGCTTCTTCGATTTCCTTGCTAACGTTACTGGATATAAGAAGATGAATTTCAAAAAGGCTACTTCATTATATAATATTCAAAGAGAGGTCTGTTCTTCGTGAAAATAAAGTATCAATAAAATCTTTGAAGAAATATTTATTAAATGTTGAGAAGTTGAGTGAAATAATTGCATAAGCGAATAATTTCTAGACTATTACAGTTAGTTGATACATGTAATGTGTGCATTAACTAATATTGTGCTAATATTAAGGAAGTTTGACATTTATGAAAACTTACTTTTAGATTGATCATAATATGACACAACCATCGTGGGTGTACAATGTTTGGCCTCAGTTTAATAATGAGACAACAATAAGTATAATAAGCAGTTTGAAGAGAATTCGTCGTATCTCCCAATTTAATTCTGCAGAAAAAGCTCGACTACGTGGCGGACTATTGATGAAAGATTGGATTGATCGAGCCAGAAATGTGTCATTAGGATTATCGGTTATTCCACATAAAATCAAACTTCATTCTGCTGTATGTTTGTTTTTATTCTACTCTTTTAATCTGATCACTGTCATTAAAATTCACTACTAATTTCTTTCAGTCATCAGATATCTTTCTTTTCGCTCAGTTATTTCACAAGAAAATTAATCGAAATCGAATAAATGATCAGCAATAGATAATCAATTAATCATCATTCAACAGACTCTTGTTTGTTAAAATAAAATTCTAAACGACAAATGCTTCTGTTTTAGCATGACGGCACGTTGTTAGCTTTGATGTATGCTCTGGGCATTGGTAATGACCTGCTTGTTCCGTATGCTTCATGCGCTATAATGGAGATATACAAGACATTAAATAGTCACACAATTATGGTTTGTAAAGGAATGATATTATAAACAAAAATAAGAAATAAAATAGCAAACAGAAGTAAAATAAGAACAGTTTTTTATTACTTTACAATACCAAAGCTGCGATGATATTAATTTTTTTTTAGAATTTCCAAAACGTCAAGTACCTACGTTAGAGGCTGATAACCACTATAGCATCATTAGCTCATTTGTTTATTGTTTACTTTTCTCAAATGAGATGATGGGAATTCTCTTTCACTATCAATGTTACCAACATTTTATAGTTTTTCTACAAAAATGGAACCGTAGTACATCAGTTACTACTACCTGGTTGCTCTTCATATGATAATTGCACGATTGCACAAGTGGAAAAAGCGGTTTCAAGAAGAAGCGTTCGAAGTCTACAACAATTGAATAAGGCAAATTTCTTTTAATGATATTAAAAGCGAATTTGTTGGAAAAAATTATTTACAAGCTCAGCGGAAAGCTTGAAGCTTTGTTTGATCGTCCGATTTAGATTTTTTCATTTCTTTAGATCAACATTTCAAACTCTTCAAGCCAAAAGATTGCCACTTAGCAGCAACAAAGAGTGATCCCATTAAGTCCCTCATTCTTAATAAAACACTTCCGGAAAGGGTGGAATACATCCATGTTGAAGAATCATTTTTGAAACCAAAAGTTTTAAATCTTTTTCTTGTATTACTTAAAATCGTAACTCCCTAAATTAAATTACACGTTACGCCATAGTTTTCGTAAAAACATTTCCACTTTTTTGAACAGTGAACATAAAATGAAAAAACAGTAATGGTTTCATAATTTAAATAAAATCAAAAATTGCAGATGTGTAGATCGGTATCGCCGCAGGTTCTTCAACACTCGGTTGCTTAGGTATACCACCAGCTGCAGTAATGTCGTACCTCACTTATCAAATATTTATCAGCATGTTACGAATATTTCTTTTGTTTGTTAGTAATAATTAGTAGTTATTAGTATTAGTAAAGTAATTATTAATAATCAGGTAAAACTGGTATGAAGAAACGAATATTACTAATAAATGGTGACCAATGAAAAATGAAAAATCATTATGGCCTTCAATTGCAATATGTAGTAGTGTTATACTCCGCTTATCAATATTTATAGTATGTGATTACTGTTAAGTTCATCGATAATTTTATGAAGTTTCAGCTAAAATAGAACCTCTGAATGTGCAATGGGAAAAACATAAACAGTATAGTCTCGGGGTAGAATAAAAATATCATGAAATGAAAAAGTAGCATTGATGAGATGTTATTTGGATTGAAAAGAATGAGACAAAATTTTGAATTAATTAAAAAGGATGACAGAAATTATCAAGAGATAGAACAGTTGCAGAAATGAGAACATTTTACCAATGATATAAACAATGATAAAAGTGCAGAAGAATGAGCAGGAATATTCGAGACTTAACTTATACTCATATTTTTAGCCTTGGGAGCAGATCAGTACCATGGAACATCATGTTGCTTAGGATGTTTCGAGGAAGTTTTGATATTAGAATTCAAGATGTAACTTGTTTCAGTCTTGAAAGATATAAATTAAATAGAAAGCCAATAGGCCTAAGAAAAATGATGTCTCAGAGTTCTTCCACTTCGATCTTTCCTTTTAGGTGTCATAACAATTTTTGCTAGCGGTATAAATAGCAACGTTAGCCTGAAAAGCCACAGAGCCTTAGAGAAGTAATTTCTTTTTAACTGGATTATATCAGTCCGCAAGCGTAACACACTACCACTAACGAAAATATCCCTTGCTGAATCTTGTACCCTTCAACTCCTCTATATTGCTGATCCCACGAGTAGAAGGAAACCACACTATACCTTAATATCGTATTTCAAAAGTGACGAGATTACTGAGCATCTGAAACATTTTTCACTAACATTTGGTCAGTATTGTTATAACTTATGAAGATAAAAAAGCAATGATGAGATTGTCCCTAACATCTATTATTCATTACAAAAGAGAAATCCAGATAAGAAGCAGCATCATGTCAACTACTAGCAAAAAAGATTTCTTTAAGATTGTCAGTCATATAAAAATAGACACTAAACAAAGCGCTAACAGCGTACATTCCTGATGGAAACAATGTCTATTCGATCTTCTCTACAGTTACAGTTCACTGAAACTTCTTCCATTTCTGCACAGCACACTTGCGTGTCGTTTGTCACTTACTTTCTCCACGGAGTACCACTGAAGTTCACGTGCAATCTCATGACCAACCTTGTTACAACAAGTAATAAAATGTGAATTTAGACATGTGCGTGTCATGTTTCTCGAATTTTGTGGCTCGTCCAGTCGCGTAAGCCCCTACTCTAGCTGACACTAAGATGACAGATCTAACAACAGGCATGCCAGTTTTAAGCATGTTTGGTAGTTGTTAGAGTTCTCATTAAATTTTATGGAAGCACTTAGTTAAATAGGGCGGAAATTACTATCACGTGTCCAAACCATAATATTATTAGAGTTTCTGAATTTTGAGTAGATTACATAAAGCTGAATTACTGATTATTGTATGTGTGTTCGTTGACCGTGATCACTTTATTCTTAGATGTTGGATTTATTGATGTCTTCATTCCAGATTTGGATTTCCCCAGTTGGGAATCTGTCATTTTTAGCAGTGATAACATATGAAGTTTTGGACTTCTGAACACGTTTTCGAGTGAGTTTCAATAGTTTCATTTTATTTACTTTTGTTTTTGTTGTTTTAATGGCTCATATTAGTGTAGTTTAATCCATTCATGCTACGATTATGTAAGTACTTTAGTTAATTTGTGTCATAAGTTATTGGAAATGTTTTCTGATAGTCATCCTTGGGACACTGTGGCATATGCAGCATGGCGCAAATACCCGAATCCAATGAACTGTGCTGTTAGTGGGATCGATGTTCTTAGACAGCATTTACTTGTTGATGGTTCATTACAGTCTGAACGTATTATCCAAAGCCATTTTCCGATACCTGCTTGGGTAACAAAGGTAAGGGTTTGTTCAACTAATTTTCACCTTCCTCTATTAAATTGTTCAACCTATAAATTTCTGCCTTTAATTTTGATTCATCGATCTGCTGGAATAAGGAATTAGATAAATTTTAATTTTCTCTTCATTCGTCAACCTATTATTCTTCATCATTTTTGCATTAATATTTTCATATTTTTGCATTACATTCAGGATTAGTAGTTTCATGTTTACTAATTTATTGTTTTACCTCTGTAGTTAACGGGTTTTTCTGGAACTCAATATTCCTATGAAGTGACCGAAATTAATCCGGCGAAGAAGGAGATGACTTTAATTACAAGGAATGTAAGTTGCTTGTCCAGATTTCAAGTCAATTTTTACTAATCAATCTCTCATAACGAATTCAGTTAACATGTTCGAAATTCGTTTTTCTTTGTATTTTATTTTCTTAGTTTAAATTTTGAAAGGTTGTAAGGAATTTCAAGTATTGGCTCTCGCGTATTGTGCTAGTCATTTTCTAACTGTGAATTATATTAAAGTTATATATTTCAATAATCAAAAGAAAATCCCAGATGAATGCAGGACGCTTTCTACGTGTTGATGAACGATTATTATATAAACCAGATCCTTACAATCAAGAAAGGTATTTTTCCTTTTTTGTTGTCCAGTATTCATTTTCTTTTGTTTTCTGATTCAGGATTAGTCAGCAGTAACCGACATGAATAGTAAATTTGATTCTTAAGATGATTATAGGACGATATTACAACAAGAAGCTGCTGTAAATGTTGATTTGCCAGCATTCGCAGATTACTGTGAAAAAATGTTCTTAAACATATATGAAACGAATGCCGAAAAGGTAATTCACTTTACTATAAAATTCATGCATTTTTCTTTCTTTTTTTGGCAATGCAAATTATATTTAATAGCTGCCATGAATTGCAAACCTTTTTCAGTGGATAATACCTAAACTCTGAATGTTTTCAACTTTAAAGCTCTTCATCTTTTTGATCATACAGGAAGAGTTTTTTATTGAATTATCGCAATTATTGGTCTGCTGTTTGTAGGTAGAAAGCTTGTAAGCAAGGAGGAATAAATGTCTGGAATTCTTATGTATCTAAATTTGTTTTCACGTGTTTTATTTGTCGGTGTCCTTCATTCTTGCTTCTTATTTTTCTAGTCTGAATACAAAACTGACCCATACCGAAATCCTTGCAATGAATCAATTTTGTCGGTAATAGTTCACAGAATGAATACGAAAAAATAATAATGACAAAAAAATATTTTGACGATGTTATCAGCGGTGTCGCTTAGACAATTTTTGATTTAATTTGGTGAATGCTTCAATACTTTGAAAACTTCATGTATCAACTCTAAAATGATGATAGCGACGTAGTTGAGTAGCATCTTTAAAAATAATGAAGAAAATCAAATCAAGTAATAACTGATCTTTTAAGGGTCGGAAAGGACTGGAATGGGTAATTGACCAGTTCAACAGCTCATCTAGATCGAGTTCAAGTGCTGAAAAGTCGTCATCACAGGGATTCTCAGATCCGACGCTTGTTCTCAGTTCACTGCATTCCGCAGCGCAACAACCAAGTTTTCTCTCTTAACACAAATTTAATTATTGTTCCAAGTAGTTTTTAGTGATCTCAGAATAATGCTGCTTAATAACGTGTGCATCATTTTTGAGTTTTTTCCATCTTCTTTTGGTTAATCATTGATGTTGACTGTTGATTTGTTCTAATGTTCAAGTATTTTTTTTAAACAGTATTTAGATAGTAGCAATTAACAGCTATAGGATAGCTAAATGTTGTGTAGAATTTATTCGGGTCTTTACTGTCTTATATCTCCCAATGTTGCCACTTCAGTCAGTGAGTGCTGCTCGCAGTATCTTATCCAAAGTAATTATTCATTTTCACATATTTTTCCGTTGCCTTACTATTTTCATAATACGACGTAACTTTTTATTGTGAATTCTTGTGACATTTTATTAATGCAGTTTGTCAGTTTGTGGTGAGTGTTATGACATTAATGTTTGAGAATATGCTGAAGAAATAATTCTAGTCTATTTGCAATACTTCTTTCATTAATAGATATGTGTTCCGCATGTTGTTGTATCACCATCGATCTTATTAATGTTTATTAGTCACAATTTTTCATTAAGTAAAGTGGTCGGAATAAACGAAATTGTGCTAACTATGTATATGTTTTATGTGTTGTAACACGGCTGAATGTATTGTGATTGTGGAAAGTAAAAAGTTTTTGGGTGAAAAAAAATGACAATGACTAGATCCACCGTTTCTTTCGTAGGTTTGTTAGAGATTGAAGAGGTGAATGATGGAAGAATTACTTGCATCAGCATACAAAAATTCTTTAAAATTCTTAATTTTACATCCTATCACGATATTTTTTGAAGAATGGAATCTAATTTGAATCCTGAATTTGTAATTACGACAGCTAAAAGCTTCATAACTTCTAATCAAGTGGGGACGTTTTCCTTGGGTAGACAAACATCAGATTGTTTGCTGTTTGTTACAACATATCGAAATTAAAGTGTTAAGTGCATAGACGTAATGGTAATTCAATTTCGATGTGTTTCAGCTATAACTGAATTTTGCATATACTTTGCACATATCTCTTCTCCGGTATATTTTCTAACACTGTTTATGATAATTATTGTATGTAATTCGGTCTCATTCATTGTTTTTCTAAAGAAATCAAAAGACAAATCCCGAGATGTGAGATGTTTATATAGTAATTTGTTATGCGTATTGAGGCATCACTCCTCATACCATGTTTAGCATATGGCAGCAATAAACATCGCTGTTAATCACTGAGTATGACTACGATGATGTAAGAACTAGCAAATGTGTGAAAGTGATTTGAATTTGTAACTGTGTAGCTTTATGTTTTAGGCAAGAGACAAGTATTAATGGATAATGGAAAGATTGGGGCTCGTGGATGGCCTGGAAGAAACGTCATTTTTACGAATACAGTCTCACTGTGATACGCTGTTCCTCTATATGCAGCACTTGCACAGTGTTTGTTTCACCAATTTAATTTTATGGAATTTTATCTTTCCTTTAAAAATTTTTTAAAATTGCTGTTACTGATGTGCGATTCTACTTTAGTTAGGAAATGTTTGATAGTATGAAGTGCGCAAATTTTAGGAACATTTTAGATCATTTTAATTGTCTTGTTGAAGAAGTTGTTTAATATATATTCATATATGTTTAACCGCTGTATTGTTTTCAATTCTTTTTCTAGACAAATCGTTTTCTGGATGTCATTGTTCAGAACGACGGCGATTATGTGACATCGGCTCATCGCCTTGTTCTATCTGCTTATAGCAGACATTTAGATGCAGCTCTATCTAGTGTTCAAGATTCTGCTGTTATAACCCTAAACATTGATCCAAAAATTACAGGTAGGCTGTCATTTTATCCGTATTATAATAATTATTGGAATAATAGTTCTTTTATAATAATTGTTTTTCAAAGCGACATACATGTTGTAAAATATGTTATAAAATAGCTCTCAAAAACTCTTTAGCCTGAGCACAACTTATTAGCTAATGATCACTGGTCAATTTACATTTAAGGTGTGGACATGGATGATCTTCGATTGCTGGTTAAATATATGTATACTGGACGTTGTAGCAATCGATCTCAAAGTAGGACACTTTCTGTTGCAAATGCGCTTGGTTGTGACTCCCTAATTAGACTGCTAGAAAGTAAAGAAGCTCAGATTTATCAGAATGTAGAATTAGAAAATCCAGATCATGCACAGGAATTGTTGCAAGCAGTCCATCGTTTCAAAACTGAAGGAAAATTCATCGATTGTTTCGTGAGTAGCCAGGTAAACATTTTTACACTAATGTCATATCTTACGACTTAAAAATTTTTCTCGATGTTTTTTTTTATGAATACTGTCCTGTAGTGTTCCGCATTTCTTCCAGTTGAAATAATAAACAAGAGAGCAAACAAAAGAATTATCATTGAAATAATTTTATATAGTGTGGAGTGACTGTAAATTCTTTTCATCGGTACTATTTTCGCACCCAAATTTTTTAGAGAATTGATGTTTTTTTTTTAATTTTTAGAATAGAATGATTCTTCGATGTCATCGTTTGATGCTTTGTGCATTCAGTACTCATTTCGAAAATGCACTTGCATGTACTGAGAAAAGTGCCATTGTCACCGTTGATATTGATCCCCAAATTACGGGTGTAAGTAGGTATGGCAAACTTATTATCAATGCAGGCTTATTTTTTGTTTTAAATATGGACAATATTTATATATTGTTATATTTATATATATTGAAATTTTGAAAATGTGATTGTTATTAGCACTTCATTTTTATTAGATGACTTGAATCTCTTTCTACAACTGCACTTTTCAAAATATAATTTTTGTTTATTTTAGTATGGATTTGAGAAATATAGTCGATTTTTTGTATAGTGGATCAATTCGCACCACATCAAGGCGTCATAAGATATTACGGCAAGCTGCTGTTACTTTAGGTGTGGCCAGATTAGTTGATGCTATCGATGAAGAATTACTTGCTTCCGAAATCGATCATTCATACTGTCCTGGTAATATACTGTACATTTGTTAATCGTTATAACATACTGTACATTTGTTAATCGTTATAACTTGGAATTTCATATTGCTTCTAAATATTTAATTTTAGACGTATCTTAATATTTCTGCTGTACTTGAGATATCGAAGAAAAACGGATTTTAGATAGTGGTGATGAAATTATGCTAACAAACACAATTTATGGCCTTTTGGATGATAATAGAAATTTGATTGGAAATGGCGAACCTGATATTTCTGCTTTAGACGGTTCAAACTTCGGTGATGATAATGATTGTAATGATGAAACTAATGCTGAAGATCTTATGGAAGAAGCTTCTAATTATATAGACAAAGGTATAAATTAATTATACTAATCATTTACAGTGCTAAATACCTAATGAGTTTTTGGAGAAATGTTTGTTTCATGACTTTTGTGTATAGTTTTCTTATGATATTTTAGAGAATTTTGAGAAAATCCATCAATCGAAGTAATTGTGTTGTTGCCTGATCGAATCTCGGTATTTAGTGAGGATTCTATTTTATAATAATATTGGGTTTAAAATTTCTTAGGATTTCAGACCAAGGCTAGTAAACGGCTGTTTGAGGGCAGTAATGAAAATTATAAAAAAAAAATTTTAACTCAATATTATTATAAAAAATGAGCTAATCTTAATGATGTTAGGTAGATATAGAAAATTTGTTTAGATGAAATACAATTGGCAGAAGATGACATGAAGCAAAGCGGGATGGCCGTTGCGAAGGCAACAAGTGATTACATGTGTATTTATGAAAAATTTGTTGCTGGACCCAGTCGTGGTCGTAAGGGTGGTACATATGGACATAAACGATTGATGTTGCAGCTGAAAAAAGACATAAAGCTCTCGCGTAAGCCTGTTTCTATCGTGAAATATGTTAATAAATGTGCCAGGATCTGCTGCTTAAGCTGTGATGAAGTATATTACCATACAACTGCACATTTAATGATTTATTGTTGGTCAATTTGCTTATTTGGAGAAAATTTCTGTGATCGAATTCATATTCATTTAGTTAAGTTTAATTTCTAATTAAATGCTTATCTTTATTATCGAAAGCGAACAGTAGCAAGCAATCTTGATTTTAGATGTGGAAGAAGCATCAACCAGTTACGATGCTGTACAGAATAATAATTTTGAAACTGTCTCTGCAGTAACGGTATCATATATTCCGCCTTCCAAAAAACGTCATTTGCTGGACAGTTTTGGTTATGGTTTGCCTGAAATTATTGCACCCAAAGATGTTACCGTACCCTTACTGGTCGGTGATCAGGAGGTTTTTTTTTTTTTTGGAATGTTTTTTATCTTCCTTACAAATTATGGTGAATCAAAATGATTTTATTGTTTGATATTGTCATTATGCACTTTGTTTGAACATGATAGATTATTTGCATTCATTTTTCATTCACAAATTTTGCTATCTGAAGTCGTCACATGGTTTTGTTTGAGGCATATGTCATGAGATCAAATTTCTGAACTGCTTAAGTTTCAGATAATGATGGAAAAACCGTTTAAATGCCCATTCTGTGATCATCGAACAAAGGAAAAAAGTGCGGTTGAAAAACATGTGAGATGCATGCATACTTTGGAAACTCCTTACAAGTGTCAATATTGCAATCAGGCTTTTAAAGTGCAGAGCAATCTTGTCAGGCATATTCGAGCCCATACAGGTGTTCTTTATTATTTTTCTAATCGTATAATGGTTTTTACTACATTTGATGTGATTTTTCTTCGATGGTAAAAGAGAATTTTTCAATTTTGTAACTGGATTGCAGTAAGAGCTATTTAATTGAACAAAAGTTCGTTTCAATTTTCAATAAATCCCACTTATACAAATGCACAGAAGTTATGCAGATGGATAAAATGTTTATTTTTGTGAGAGTCGATTGATTTATAGGTGAAAAGCCATACGCGTGTAAAAAGTGTGGGACGACATATGCAGATAAGAAAAATATGGATGCACATATATTTAGAGAGCATTTGAAAGTGAAACCGTTTGAATGTCCCGAAGAGTTTTGTAGAGCTAAGTTCTGGCGAAAAGATCGTTTTGTTGTGCACTGTCGTCGAACGCACAGTTTTGAACCGGTTATTACTTTTGAAAAATTGAGTACTTGAAATACTGTTTTGCTCTTTTGTATTGTATAAAGTATAAAGTTGAATTTGAAGCTATTTCTCATGATGTTTTCCGGTGCTTTCCAAAATTATGGCTTAATTGATGATCGTGTAGGATAATTAGGTGGCGACTGGTGTTTCTTTTATCAGTTCCATATGTGTTAATTTTTTGTAGCATTTTCTTTATTTCACTATGAACAGCCATTAGAGGAAAGAATAAGAATTTGTTTTGAGTTTATGAATAACTACCTACTTATTCATTATGTTGTAATTCAATGAGCTATTGCGAATAAGTTTTGTTATAAAGTTGTTACTGGAAATAAAAATTTGTATATTTTGTAACTTCGCTGCTTGAGGCTATTGTATTGGACAGGGTATTATTGAATTTTGCTTTGCAGTTTCCATATGTAGCCAAAATAATTTGGAAAATGATAAATTAATTTCAGTATGATTTAATTTGAATAATTCTCCTCATCATAAAGAGAATGGAAGTAGAATATGTACTAAATTTTATAGACTGCATGACGGATAAGGATGTCGACCAGTACATCAGGCAAAATATTGTTTGGTCAAAGTTGCCTCAGGAAATTCGAATTGTTTTGGGCAACTCACAGAGAGAATATGATAAGCTTGTACTGGAATATTCAATCAAAAATCAGTTAAGGTATAAAGGTAACATAGGTGTGTCCTTTTTCTGCTTATGAGATTGGTCAGGGTTCCTTCTGAGATCCAGAATCTCGCAGGTCAATCTATACTTCAGACTTCGTAGTTATTCAATTCTCTTAACTTTCTCAGGTTATTTTTTTTCCGTAATGTTATGTCTGATTCCAAAATAATCTCAGCAATTCAGTTATTTTTGATTATTATGATGGAAGGACGGTTCTCTTTGGTTTCATATTAACCTATATTTATCTATGAATATTTTAGTGAAATATGTGAAGAAAAATGAGGAAACCTATTATGATATTCTTCTAAAATACAGTGAAACTCATCTTATGCTTTATCCGTACCATCTCTCAAATATCGTTGTACGCGAACTTCGAATGACGCCATTTAGTTATTACATCAACGTCATAGTGGTAAAACTTTTGACAAAATAATTCCATATGTATGCAAATGTATTTCCTCATGTTTCTTTTTCTAGTTTTCCATAAATTAAATATTTTTAATTGTTGATAACATACATTGTAGTAATTTGATTGTGATGTTGCGAATTCTCGCGCCTATCGACCTTCATTTCAGATACCTAGCTTTAATTTGGAAAACTTTTTCGAAATATTGTTTTGATAATAAGATAATTTTTAGAATCTTATGAATGCCGAAAAGAGTTATGATTCATTACCGAATTTTACGGCCGCAGATGCGATGAGATTATTGGGGATTGGTAGAAATCAGTACATTGAGTTAATGAATCAGAACCGTTGTAACCGAAAAATATTTCGAAAGAGTAAATCACTGCGTGAACTATTACCAGAAAAACCTGTTGCTATCAACATTGAACCTTGGTGGTTGGTCGCACCCGGCAGTATCTTGGAAAGTGATGTTAAGGTTTTATTTTTTATTTAATCATGCAGATTGAGTGTGGGGAGTTTATGTGCAAATTCTTCCAATGGTTCAACAATTCAGTTTCTTTTTGTCTCTCTTACTTAGTCAGTTTTTGTCTTTCTATTAAATTATAAAATAATTGATTGATCATCTGATTGCTTTTTTTAACGCTGTTTATCTCATAACAGTTATTTGAAAAATTTGAAATTTAATTTAGTGAAAACGATGAAGTATTGCAGTTACTGAACAAAGATGAGAAAGATTTGTTAGATATGCTTATCGATGAAGGTGCTCAATTAGTTGGTACTCTTGATGCGAAGTTGGTGCAAAAACTTTATAATCGTGGTTTAGCTTACTTGGAGGTACCAGTTAAGGACGACGATTATATTTATGGTAATAACTGCTTTTGTATTTTTTTTTTGTGTTGGTCTTATGCCACAAAAAACAAAAAAAAAAATCACATTCAATCTTGTCCAACTTTTCATGCACAGATTTTTTAGATGTACGAAGTGTTGGTAAGAACGGTTTTTTTTCTTTTCCTTTGTTTTTTCTATTTCCTTTTCTTTTCCTGTAATATTTTCAGGTATTTTTAGATATTTAGGAAATTGTCTCGCTGACTTTCCGGATTATAAATCCAAGATTCAGGTGGTGAAGTGCCTAATCTCTTTTTCCTCATTCTATAATAGTATAGACTATACGTTTAACCGTAAGTATTGTAACAGTTGCCGCATACCTTAAATCAGTTTTTTTTTCGCAGTGCCAACTTTGGATGGTTTTGTTATGAACCGAGTTCTGGGCGATTATTTTGAAAATTTGCTGTATCAAATATTTGTAGCCATAGACGAGCAAACAACTGTACGGGAGGTATACTTTGAATATTTTGGTTTTTAATATTTAATATATATTTTGGTTTATACATTTAATATATATATTTTACTTGAGCCTTAAACATTCAAATAATGTAGCATAAGAAAGTAGTTGCAAAAATTTAGTAAAATTAGTGAGATTTCTTATCAGTTTGTATAATTACTATTGCTTTCAGTAATTTTAGCTATCCGAAACTCTAAATATTGATTTGCAATTAGTAAAAAACGCTGTCTCTGTCTTTTGCCGACTTGGCTTTGCGAAGAAGCGTATCACTGGACTAGAAAATCTTGCGTTGCATGTAACATGGGCAAGTCATATGATCATTCCAGAGTAAGTATATAATTTTGTAAATAGTTTAAATTATCATTGATAAGAGGTCATAAGAACTTTCCATGACCTTTTGTTCTAATTATCGTATGCTTACTCATTTAGCACTACTAAGCATTTTTAATGAGTGCTGCACGTGATTTGCAAGCAGTTATCGACAGTATTTCACCTAATAAATTCGGCCTCATTCTCAGTCATAAAGTCCTTTCCACTATTTATTTGTTTACTGTGATTTGGTTGCGAAATTATATGCATATCTCTATGACTACATTCGTTGATTCCCACTTGTTAGCGCTTTTCTTTAGTAGAATAATGCACTTATTTTTTATTAACTTCTATTCTATTTTGCATTAATTTGCTGATGTTTTATGTGTTAATATGTTAACTGTTTTTACCATTCATTGTTTCATTATTATATATTTATTTTAAATATTTATTTCTGTGTGAGTTTCATATATTTGTTGCTACCATGTTAGAAACACATCAGTCAGTCAAGTCGCGCTTTTAGAAGATCACGAACATCTTATTTTTTACTTTCTCTGCATTATTTCTCAAATGTTCTGTTAAGTTCTGACTTTTAATAGGATAGACGATGATTCGACTGCAGCAATCACAGAGGATCTATCAGATTTTTCTACTGCATTGGTTTCTCCGGGTGGTGCAGATGAAGATGACGAAAATGAATCCACTACAGATGGATTAGCGGTGAATCATGATGTGCTTGTAGCGTCGTTCACGGTACTATATTTTACAGTGATGCAGGATGTAAATTAGATTTAAAAGTCCGTTATTCTGTTCGCTTTAATTTTGATTTTATATTTTCAGTCGTTATCGTTAACAACTCCCACTCCTTGTGGCGGGAACGAAGCTATTAAACGAATTGCATTTCTCCTCGATTCATCGTTGACTGCTTTTCTTATGATGGGGAACTTATCAATCGTAAGCTAGCTTTTTCCCTTTTAAATAAAGAAATTGTAATATAAACGACGAGTTTAGTGAAAATCATTCTAATGAAGAAATATACTTGTGAGCTTTTCAGAAAATTCGAACGTTGCAGTGATGTTTAAGCCTTATTAGCTGTAATTTTTGTTTCTGTTTTTTTTTTTTTTTTTTTTTTAGAGTCTAAAAAATCATGCGGTAACCTTATTTGAAGTGGGAAAATTGAGCGACGAGTCACTAGATAGTTTCGTGGAAGAACTGCAGAATGTGAGTTGTTATCTCTGTTAGTTTGAATTTGAGATATGTTCACTGAAAGTATGATGGACGAATTTTGTTAGTGAAGTTGCTGATTCAGGTGAAATTGTTTGTGGAAGGTGAAGCACAAAGATATTCCGAACATGCTCAAACATTGTTATTAACAATTCTTGCACTTCGAAGTAGTTCTGAATTGGATTTAATTAGAGGTGAAAGTTTGTTATCGTTGGATCATGCCACACGTCTACGTCTCATCAACAAAACATACAGGTTAGAATCATTTATTCAGAACAAATATATGTAATTTGGGGAGTAACTGTTTTCCAGTTCATTTAATCAATAATTTTGGAGAAATGATTCATCGTTGAATAAACCGGCTTTTCTCAATTTTTTTTTTTTAACATACATTTAAAAACTGTTAAGATGTTTGGTTTCAATGGCTCCGTTAAATGGAGAAGCATGTCCATTATCAGTGCCATCTATTCCTCATTTTGGGACCGTTATTCCAGAAGTATGTTGATTTTGATTTTTATCAAAATTCAGATCTGAATTAATTGAAAGAGCATTTACCAGTAGAGGAAATTTTGAAAATTTTCCTATGCTTTTAGCACTACTAGAAACTGTCTCATAAGAGTCGTAGTTACAGGTGGTTTCGTCATGGTTTCGGTTGTTTTTGTATTGTACTTTGGGTGATGGACCAGTTTCGCTGTATATCCCCAAAGGCTCACGTGTCCCAGTCATTCCTTGTGCTCTACGACAATGCAAACATTTACTGATCACTACTGCTTCACATGAACCTGTTATTATTCCAGCAGATAACTGTTTAATTCAGTTGAATGACATGCTTCAAACGCATGCAGTGTTTGTGCAAGTATACTTTATTAACATTATTTTCATTTAAAAAAGTCAAAGATGTTGAAGTCATTGGAAGTTTTGTCAACTTTAAGCTTACTTTATTTTATCTGGTGCGTCCATTCTTTCGAGATTTTGTAGGTCTTTCGTAACATAGCTTATCCAGGATGAGAGGATGAGAAATGAGGATGAGAAACTGATAATTTTGAAATATCAAAATTCCTCATTGTTCACTTTGTATTCAAAGAACTGTTTGCTTTTATTTCTCTTTTTTCTATGATATAATCTATGATAACATATGTGGTTGTTAAGTAATTTTTGTGGTTTGAAGTTTTAATAATATTTAAATTGTTCTAATCTAAAATTGTATGAAAGTATTATTTCAGGAATACAGTGCTGTAATTGATGACTCAGAGATTGTAAGTGTCCCATTCCCATTTATTGATTCCAGTTTAACAGATGGTAATTTTCTCATCAATACTATCAGAATAGTGAAAAAATTTTCCAAATGAAGCTAACAAGTTATCTAATATATCTCGACAATATCATCTTTTTATCACTTATTTGCTTTATGTTCAGTTTTCATTTTAGTTATTAGTTCTTTTCCGGTCCTTCCTTTTAAATTTCTTGTTTTTTTATTGCAGGTCATTTTTCATTACATCCTTCGGTGCTGAAACTTCGAGAAAAATTGGGGCTAAATTCGCTGTGTGGTTATTTGACACTGCTGTGTAAAAAGAAAACTATTGAGTGGGAAGTACAGTCGAAGAATAAGAAAGGTGGTACTACAACGGTCAGCAAAGATCCAAGGTCTTGCTTTGATTTTTGTAGAAAATTATTGTTACTAGTGCTCGTTTCTGGGTATTTTATTCGTTTTGTTATCAATTTCCAAGCATTTGTAAAAGTTGAAATAAGTCTTTTTTTTTTTCCTTTTTCTCATATTCTGTTGTTGTAATTGTATAATTGTTAATGTTCTGGAGAGGGCATAACTGTAACAGCGAAATGTCCATATTGCATCAGGTATGAAAGACTGAACACCAAGAGACTAGTATCAAAAATTTATGAATTTCATAGGAAAATTGCGAGTCTACGAGTTCATTTGCGAGACGATGAAACATATGCTGATTACACATTGCTTGACTGTGTTTTTGGCGTGCCATTATTCGATGAACATTTAAACAGGGTCATTTGTCAAAGAATTAAGGACTGCGAGCTTCTTGATCCAAAAAAGTATATTTTTCTTTTCCTTGTTCTGAATCCTTTCAAAGAAGAAAAGTAGTATTTCCTTTTTGTAAATTTTCAATTAAAAATGTCTTTTTCTATAACATAGTTCAAACATGGTGGAATTTGCGAACCGCGATCTTGTACAATCGTTACGAGAACTGATTAATAAATATCAAACGTGGGGAGAAGTGAGTTAAAATATCTTTTATTTTTTTTAATACCTTTTATTTATTGTTCTTGGGGAGATGTAAATTTCAAATACTCCGAGATCAATGGTATTTCAGTCTACATCTGTTTGGGAAATCTCACGTTGGTCTCCACCAGCTCAAACACTTCTTTTCCAAAATGGAGAGATAAGTATAGTGGATAATCTGCGAGTTTGGTAAACGAATGGATATGGTTTGGTTGAGCTGCTGTGATTAAAAACATCATAAAAATTAACTTTCATAGGGTGTTAATCCATGTGTAATATTCAACTTCACTTTTAGGTTTCCTAGAGCTTTTATTTGATTTTATAAGATATGGAACTTCATATCGTAGTTAAATAAATACTGATATTTCTTGGAAAGTTTCTAGGATCAAACCCTGACTTTTATCTTTTGTGACGTATTTGGTTGGAATTGCTTTTCACATTCTTGGAGAAAAATCTTCATTTCTGAAGTTTTTTTTCGTACTAAGGATATTTATTATTGGAAGTGCACTACGTGGTCAATCAGGATCATTTTGAAGGACACTCCATTACTTCATTTTATTTATTTTTTTTTTTTTCTACGTTTCATTACTTAGATTATTTTTGGTCGGAAATGGGCATTTCACTAGGATTTTGGTATTCTCATGTGCTTGTATTCCGAGCTATGGCTTTGGGCAATGGTTGTCTGGTGTTTTCACTGTAGGAAAATATTTCTTCTCCATTTTTACTGATTCCTACATTTCTGGTTCTAAAGGTTAGTGCTTTTTTCTTTTCTGATTTATTGCTGAAACAAGTGTTTTATGTTATTACATTCTTTCGATATTTTTGACACCGTTTGTCGAGAAAAGAATCTTCTTGAGGCTTCCTGAGATTCCTGAAGATTATTTTCCAACTTTTTTTTTTTCACTCTATTAGTTAAATTATTTTAAAAACTACTTTCTATTAATACTTTGAAATTTGTCGTCCTGAATTATCAATGAATTATAGTCAGTTATATTTCAATGCTCAGTTTCTAATTTAATCGATATTATTATTATTATTACATATTACTGCAGCTATTTTCTTACTTTTTTAAACTGTATTATTATTAATTACTAATTTATTGTTGTTGAAATTCATTTGGAGATACACTGTCATTTTTATAAATTGTATGCAGTCGTAGGCTCTTAACTGACTGCAATTGTTGAACTTTTCCTGGGTCTTATGGCTTAGAACTTCGATGAATATATTGGGAGAGAGCTAGAAAGAAATGAAAAATTGTGTTCTTATTTTTATTTGGTGATTTGTGATCTGAAAAGGGTGAGTATTGTGGAGTATATCCATTAATTCCTGCTGTGATCCTTTTTAATTATATTCTCTTTCATTTGTCAGAACATTTCATGCCATTATATTCTTTTTATTTATAACTTCCGTTTTACAGTTTTACGAATTTATAAAATTATTTGCTCTGTATATTTTACTCAAATATTATTTACTGCGATCTTCGCAAAAAATGCTCATTTCCATGAATTCTTAGATTCATTCCTGAAGTGGAAACGTAATTATTTCCATAAAACTGGAGAAATTTTGCTCTCTTTTGGATCTGAATTAAACATTTAACAAAAAACAAAATCGAATTTTATTGTAAAAGCGGTCAAACATTTCGTGCTTTTACTTTTTCGTCTAAACTTTTTTTTTGTTTGTTTATATTTTTGTAATCGGTTTTATCTCTGCTGTTATTATTATTAATAGTCAGTGAATGTTTTTCAGTTAATTATAATGTTACAGCAAAATAAAAATGGTAAGTGTATCTCAAAAGAAGATGGGAATGTGAAAGCATTAGCATACTGACTAATTCGAATTCTGTTAGATTTGCTAGGAATCAAAGAAGTATAAGTCAGTAAAATCCCACAGAAGTTAATGCTGTAACCACTCTCATATTACAACTGTCACTGTTACCATTTGCTCTATTATTATTGATATTGTTGGAATTTTATTTCCACTCCAATTTCTCAAACTTCCATTTTATTCTTGCCAGTTATAGCTGAAATTTTTTTTATAACTGTAAAACTGAATGTGGAATTTGATGAAGCTTAACATTTCCGAGACCATTGTAATGTGATTTTCAGACATTTTAGCATTATCAAAATATGTTTCCAAGCGCTCTGATTCCTAATTTTGTTTGTTGATTTAACATTTGCTGCAATATTTCGCTGAAGATTGAAGCATGATACCACTTCTTTGTTAATATTCTGTTTTTAATCGCTTGTATAATGTTCTCCATTTGACATTTGGGTTCATATATGGTTGTGTAGTGCAGCTAAGTCCCTCATTTTTATTATAATTTGTTGTACAGCGCTTTGATTTGTCTCTTCCTTGAAATGTATTAAATTTATTAAATGTAAAATTGGTTCACCAAACTTTGTGTCTTGAATATTCTTATCCGTTCAACAGAGAGGATTAGTAATAGAAAAGGAAAAGTGGAATAATTCATTTTCAGTTTCTTTGTTTAAAATTAAAATTAAGCATTGCCCTAGCAATATGAAAGAAATAAGTTGGACGGGAGAAAGCTAGAGAGATCTTTTGGCTCCATGGTATCCATTTTCCTTAAAGTTACCACCAAAGAATCTTTAAAAAATGAACCGAGGGTGGCGTTTAACTCAGTAATCGCTTCCAAAAATAGGTAGAAAAGATATGTCAGCATTAGATATGCTAGGCTAGGTCAAGTTATACTAATTTCGGCTTTTCGATACAAGTTGTTTTTAGCCAACTATTAATCTAACGTAATGTATGAGATATTGGACTGTGCATGGAAGTTCATCTGTTCTGCTCCGTTATAGAACATTTTTACTACTTTTATTAATAGTCACTATCAAGATTAACATAATATAAGCAAATTATAATAGTAGTAGGAAGATAAAGTACAATTGCTATAGATTTAGTGAGATTCATCTCATATTTCGTTTTCTTAACACTATTTAAATTAATTTGTGAAACTGGTGTGTGTTGTAAATATTGTGGGAATAGTAATGGAATATGGAAGTATTCTAATTGAGAAATGTTCAATCTAAATAATTTCTTTGAAATGAATGAGAATTTGATTTTTACATTAAGAATTATAGAGAATTTAAAGGCGATTTATTGATATATTTGATTGATTGGCATTGTTCTGTATTCTGATTGTGCAAATGATAGAAAGGAAGCAATGGATGGATTGACAATGTTTTTGCTGGCTGCTTTTCTTGGGCTGCTCGGTCTGATCTGATTCAATCTCTTATCTGCTGCATCCTATGAAATGTTCCTTCCCCAGAAAGATGTATAGTTACGAAAATAATGGCTGCTGTGTAATGCATTCCTTACCATTGCTTAGGCTTATTTAAAAGAAGTACGGATACTTTATAAATTTTTTTAGTTAGTTGTCAAATTTGTTAAACTTTATTTGATATTTTGCTAATCTCTTCTTAATCTCTTTCTTTCAAATTGGTTAAATGCACTAGCTAAATTTACGGCAAAGAAGCAGTACTTGAATTTAATTTCAGAAATTCTGATTATAAATAATTGTTGCAGATAAATTTTTTGTAGGAGCACTAAAAATATATAAATTATCACGTCTCTTTATCAGCGTGGAATTAGTGGCAGATTAAAAGTTCTAAAAATTTTATATCTGATTTAGGTTCGATCTTTCTTAAAAATTTTCAAGATAAAATCTATTTATAAATGAAATAAATTGATGCCTCTCTATTTTATGATGTAAAAGGAGGTACCAGTGAACACAATACAAGAAATCGTCAGTGATTTAAATATTTTAAAAGCACTGATATTTCCAACTGCAAAAAGGAACAGAACATAAATATGGTTGTCTCTGATTGATGTTAAAGTCTGATGAAGATCCCATAGCCATTTTAAAATGATCGTAGGCTCAATATGAAGTGCAAACGATCTGATTTAGGTGCAAATTCGCTTAGTTCAGTTGTGGAAAGATTTTAAATGCAATCAAGCAATATCTTCTTTTATCTTTTCCTATGTTATATGTTTTATTTCGACGCTGTAATCTTGAATTTTCATTCCCTTTTTTCACTTCGAACTCTTTTTTGTTTTGGAGGCATAATTTCAATGTCTTTGACGTGAATTTACATGGATTCGGATTCTGCCGTGCTAGATGACTGAAAGCTTTTCCTGTAGATTCTTTTGTCATTTATCATCGTTGATAGTGTATTGGCAATTGACAATGCTGAAAGCAGCTCATCCCTTCTCTGTTGAAATGACAACATTTTGAATTGCAAATGTATTTTCTACATTATTTGATATATTTCACATCTCAAATATCTAATCTGAAATATACCGCAACTCCGTATATTTCTATAAATCCTTTATATTATACATTATATTCCATGAAAATGTTCATTTTTGTTAGAGCTACTTTTGTTGGGGAAAGTTTTGATCAAATTTCTCCTCTCAACGCTATGAGTTTATGAAAAAGCACTCCGTTGGGAGAGATTGATCACTGGAGAGTATTGAAATGCAATATTGATAATGCTACGCTGATAAAAGTTAGATATAAATTTATGGATTTACTAGGAAATTTTCATAAATTATATATTTTGGTATATTACATACTCTTTTGAAGAAGAAAGAAATTACTTCTATGGTTGACAATACTCTATTCTTAGCTTCTTATGCGTCATATCATGAAATGATGAAATATGATATATGCTTCAAATTCTTTTTTTTTTGTGGCTAGCGAATAGTTGCAGATGAATACAACCTAGTCCTGTACTCTTGTATGAAGTTGTAATCAAAGCTATGTAGGTTTCATTTTTTGGAATTCAGGAAATCATATTAGTAAATTTGGGAAGTTTGGCATAATTTGGAGTAATTTGCTCAGTATTAGTTTTTTTTTTTTTAAATTTTCAGTATCATCGTTCAATTTCTCCTAACTTTGTAGACCATCAGCAGTGTTGGGACATTCCAGCAAAGGTTCTGTATCCGTTAAAGTAGAGAAAGTTGGCGGCTTTCCACTGTAAAAGCTACATAGTTCAATTAATTATGCTATTTATTGATTTTGGCAGGAAACAATAGTTGCAATGATGAGAAGCAATGAGTGAAAAGATAGGAAGATAACGAAATTTGGTGCTGAACTGTGAGGGGCGGTGAAAGAGAGGGTGTTGAGGGGTATTGAGGAGAGAGGCTTATTAGATGGGATTATCAAAAAAAGCTGCTTTTAGTAGGAGTTGATAAAAGCTTAGCAGTGGCAGCAATCACCCTTAGGGATTACCAGTATCAAACAGCTCCTCCTTCGCCCTCTTTTAAAATAAATTTCTTAACTGCACCGTCTTTCCTTTCTTCCATTGTTGTTAGAACTGAAGTTCACTTTGTTGATTGTTATTAGCAGCTATTATCATTCTTCTTCATATATAGAACAAAAGTTCGCGTAATCAAACAATTTATGCAATTAACGAAGCAAAAAAGTATGCATTTGAAGTAAACACCGCCTGGAAATGATATGTTCACAATTTCACTGGCTCACTATTTCCTGATATATTTTGATTTGGATAACTTAGGATGTAATGTTGTCATTACACCGCCGATACTGGACTGAGACAGATCTAACTGGCAGTGTCAATGACAGTCGCATGTCTGGACGTATCTTGCGATAGATTTCGATACTGCCATGGAAGATACGTTTGTCTGGTATAAATATCCAATATCCGATACCAGTGCGCATCATGATTACATTACTAAAATTCGTTTGAACAGAATTGTCTCTAGATTCCATATTATGTTCGGTTCAATCTTAAAAATGTATCACAAAGTTTCTCCAGTAATGTTCGTCTTTACGTTGACGTTATTATCGTTTAGCATAATATAAAGAAAAGTTTATTTTCCTTTCTTACGGTTCTATTCCTACGACTAGCACTGTTTATCAGTCTTGCATGATATTCCTGACTTGCTGTTCTCCTTGATGTTACCCGCTTGTTGCTTTTTCTGCTTTTGCCATAGGAGTTCTTCATCCTTTTTTAATTTAGATAAACCTGATAAGGAAACGCTCATAGAGATGTTTATTTTTTCGTTCTTGTCATTATTTGATCTCGTGATAGAGATTATGAAGAGATGTTCACAGCAACAATTTTCTTTAGCAAAGTCCATTTTGAACTTATCCATGGGGAATTGAAATTGTGTTCAACCTTATTTAGGTAATCAGTTTAATTATGGGGTGCATTAAAAGAATAGTAGAGTAAATAGGCTAGGTGGATGATATTAGTATTTTCGAAAATTTCATTTCAAATACATAAATCATTTCTTAATTTTTGCATCTCATTGCTTTTGTCATTTTGATAGAGTGCAAAGAAAAGCTTGCCCAGGAGAAGTTTGTTGAAAATGAAAGGAACGAAATCGATTGTTGTTGATAAAATTGTTGGGATGTAGAAGGGATTACTTCTTCATGTTATGTTTCTTTTCTTCAGCACTTAATTGCTTTTTAATTTGGTATTTGTTTCATTTCAAAAGATGAACAAAATGCAGGCAACAAGTTTAGTGATTTTTTGAAATAGCTGCTACTTCAGCCTAATTTATTCACTTGTTATGCTACAAACAATTCATTAATTTGTAAATCAATCTCAAACAATATTGCAAAGTAGTATGATGAAGAATGTCAGTGTTATCAGATAAGCATTAATGGAATGTCAAAGACCAATGATATCTTCTTAGAGATTAAAACGATGTTGAATAATTGATGTGGATCTTACTATATGATTTTATTAGCAATTTAATTATAATGAACTTCAGTTCAGATACAAAGTTACAATAAACTGATATTCTGCTGACATTCATATTGGTGGTCATTCTTCATTTTTGATTTCAGAATTTACATTATTGATTAAAAAAAAAATTATGCAAGAAGTTGAACAAAGATTCATTTTTTATCCGAAAAAGAAGATTCATTCAAAAATCCTATATAGTTTCATCCGAAATCTTTGCTAGATATTTCAAAATGCTTCTAAAACTTCTTAAACTGAAGAAGGGAAAGATTATAAATTAACTATTTGATGGTTAGAAAGCCTATTAATAAGGACTGGAAAATGGAAATGGAAGAAATGATTCGCTTCATCTGTATAGAAAAACAATCCACGGTAAAAGAACTTTATTCGCTTTTAGATGGAAATATGGGATGGGATATAAGAGATGCATCGTTTGTTTGATGAGAGTTACGAATGGAAATTAAATGTGCCTAACAAATTTATGTTAGCTCAGATATTTGTTATTTGGTGACTTGAAATTGATGAAAATTTAAAATTTGAATACAGAAAAAAAGGTTCGGAGTGATTATTCATCTTTGGTTAAAATTTATTGAGCAAAGATCGAGGAAATTGCGTGGTATTAATTTGTGAAAGAAAATGGAAGAGCTTTGAAATGATAAGCCTTTATCCTTCATCTTTTATGTATAATCTGAGTATTAATTTTATAAAAAGTATGGAGAAGTGGAGGTCAATGGACACTTTTATAAAAATGTAAGATTTTAGAGGAGAATGTCTGTATGTATATAAATTTCACTCATATATATATATGTAAAAAGAAAGAATGATTTTATCATTCCCTCAGGGATTATCGTCTTTTTGAATGGTTTGAAGAAGAAAAATAATAGTCAACTAAAGCAGTGTGATTTCTTTTCTACAACTTCTTGGAAATAAGACGACTACAATTTTCTTTTCTTTTTTTTTAATTTTCAAGTAAACGAACTCTTGTTTGGTCCTCTGTCTTTCACTTAATTTTCAACAAAAAATTTCCGTATTCGTGGGACTTCAAGGCTTGCTAACATTTCTATATTATTCAACTTGGAAACCATTTCATAATGTTTCCAACATTAATTGCATCAAAGTTATGTATTTTGTGCCTTCTTTTTTCTTCATATAATTAATTACTGTAGATGAATGATGATGAAGTATTGTTTAAGAATGTTCAATTTTTTTTTTAGTTACAAGGATTCAAGGATGGTTCAAGAAAATAACCTTCATTATTTAGAATATGAGTGCTAAAATTTGAAGCGCAGAGTTTGTGCAACCTTTGGAAAATAATTTTAAACAGAAGTATTCGAGTTCTTTCATGATCAGACTTGAAAACATTCAAAACATTCAAGTTCGGAGACTACTGCTGTCATTCGATTGTCATAATTTGTCGCGATAAGTGGTGACAAAAAAGTGAGTAAAGGAAGACTAAATAATAGTGTTTTGGTAACAGAATATATAAAATAATTCTGAAACATTTAATCAACAATTTAGTTATATATCAGTGAAAATAGATAGCTATTGAAACAAATCTTGCTTCTTTTGCTGCATTATTCAAATTTTTAGAACTATAATTGGCTATTATGAACAAACAATTGTAAATGAATTTTGGAATGAGAAAGGTAAATAAAATTGAGTTTTGTTCAACTGCTTGAAAACTTTGGCTCATTAACTTTTTGTTTCAGTCGGATTGTTTCCATTTTTATTTCAAGATACTTTTGTAATTTAATGTTAGTCTTTCTCATTCTTATGGCAATAACAAGCTGAATAAAATTCGGAACAGAACTTTTCCGCCAATTTTTTTTGAAGTTTGTTTTTATCAGTAATAATACAGTGCAAGTTAATGCACAACCTTATTATCCCATTCAAAATCCACCACGTCAGCAGTTTTATCTTTATTTTTGGAATATTTTTCAAATCAATAATTTCAAACATATCTGTTTTTCTTATCAAAAGTTCAATTAAATTAATATGCAAATGTCTCATAGAAATGAGCAATAATTTGCATATAATTGATCCTTCCAAATTTCTATTCATATGAAAATTCAGATTTTGCCAGTCTACCAGTTTCATATTTTATTATATTAATAGCTTGATACCTTAGTTATTTTCTTTTTCCTTCGCTTCATTCGACAAATAAAATTGTAAAGTTTTAATTAAAGCATTTTCTTTCACACGTGAATGGCCTTCTGAGTTCGAAAGTTTACTATAAAATTGAATTTGATTTAACATTAGAAAATAGTTCAGTATTGATTACTATAATCACTCTAACAGTAGAAAATTGAAACTTTCAAAATGCTTAGATATAAAGCATCGCATAACGTTTACAACTTATTTCGCATTTGTATGAAAGATGTAAATTTGAAATGAGTTGCAGAATGACGACATTGGATGAACGGTCAGTTGTTGGTCCAATGTTAATTTGGCTGGATGCTTTGGAGAAAGATTTCGACAAAGCATTTGTTGATTTGGATTTATTACTTGGGGAAATTGATTCCGATCAAGTAACTCAGTTTTCTCTTCTTATCTGCTTTTTTTTTTAGTCGAATTGTTTTTCTGCCAATTTCGTTAAACAATTGGTCTCTTTTTCTTTTGGATTTTGATAAAAAATCTTTAAATACCTCATTTGCTAAATTCATTACTTGTTGAATTCATGATATGATATATCCAATCTACAACTAATCAACATAATATTAATGTGATGAATATATTCAAGTAAAACGTTTTTGTCTTCTTTTATTTGAAATTTGAAATCACATTCAAATCATTTTACATTTTCAGATCAAATCCATAGAATTGAAACGATACCTTTTAAGAAGTTTCAGTTGTCGCATCCTAAATGATTTTCGAGTAATTTTGACAATATTTTTTGTGAGAAAATTTTTGATATTCCAGGCGGACTTAGTGTTTGAGAGCCGTCAAAAAATGACTGCACTCAGTGGTGCATTCGCTCAACTTGTCCATAAAGCGCAAACTATTTTTCAGTGCAATATACGCCAAGAGGTTTCTCATTTTTATAGTTGAGATTCTTTTGCTCTTCTATTAAAACGTGATATATATTTTCCTTAAACCAGTGGCATCAAACTTGATATTGCAGGGAGAATTGGTACAACTTAGGAATGACTTATGCTTATCGCGATCCGCTCATTACGAGCTTGAACGTGAATCTCAGCAACTCATGCTTCAGGTCCTACTTTAAATGAAAAATCTCAAATAGCATAATTCTTTTCCATCTGTTGAAAAAGTGAAAATTGTTCTTTGCACTGATAAAATCAATTTTGAAAATCTTCAGGTGCATAGTTTACACTGTCAAGTACATTTCAAAACTGCTCCACATGAATCAGATATGATCAAGAAGAAGCTGGTATGTATAACAAGCATTATTCATAGCATATTTCAACTTGTAGTTTTTGTTCTTTCGAAAATTTAAAGGTCCAATGATAGGTAATCAGATAATAGAAAATAATAAAATCGTTTAAAATAGTCGAATAAGTATATTGTGAGTGAACAAGAAACTCAGTTTGTTCAACCAAAAGCAATAAAGTAGTCAAAGCATTCGAAATCGGTTAAGGTACTGTTAGCTGATCAATGCTTTTGAGAGGCTAAACAATTAACAAATTCATTCTTATTGACTTTAAAACTTAGTTGGCACTATGAAGTCCTAATCAGTCGTGAATAGCAATATACTTAAGGTCGTGAAAGTTTTTGATTTCATATTTTTTATCAATCCGAAGTATCACATACTGATCATTTAATTATTCATTTTAATTTCACTATTTATTAAATTGTTGAAAAAAATTAAAGTGTAAGCAATATTTTCATTGATTTTACTTCTACTGATGTGCTGATTCGTAATTTAAGAATTTCTTTGTCAGTACTCATATAATAACACAATGAAACTAAAATTATGCTATGAGTAACTTCTTAATTTTCGCTGTTCAACTTCCAATTAGGAACAAGAAATACTAAACTTTCGATCCGAAATCCGGCCTCC